AAGACTCACACAGTAAAGATGTCAAGTCTCCCTAAATTGATCTATAGGTTTAAGGCCATTACTATCAAAAAATCAGCATATTTCTTTGTAGACACCAACAAGCTTATTCTAAAATTTGTATCGAAAAGGAAAGGCCCTAAAATATCCAAAATAATTTTGAAAAAGAAAGGAGGAGGAATGATTCTCCCTGATGTTAAAGATTACTATATTGCTGCAATACTCAAGACAGTGGTACCATCTTGGGATAAACACAGAAATCAACGGAACAGAACTGAGAATCCAGAAACAGATCCACACAAATATGCCCAATTAATTTTTGACCAAGAAGCAAATGCAATTCGATGGAGGAGAGAGAGCTTTTTCAATAAGGGGCACAGGAGCAACTGGACATCTAGAGGCAAAACAATGAGTGCCGTGACCCAAACCTCACACTTCATACAAAAATTAACTCAAAATGGATCATAGACTTAAATGTAAAACAGTAAAACTTTTAGAATGGAGCACAGAAAAAAATCTTTGAAGCTTAGAACAAGGCAAAGAGTTCTTAGACTTGACACTAAAAGCAGGATCTGTAAGAGGACAACTGAGAAATTGGATCTCGTCCAAATTAAAACCACCTGCTCTGTGAAAGAATATTAAAAAGATTTTTTAAAAAATTACAAAACAGGGAAAAACAGGAAAAATGTTTCTAATCACATATCTGACAAAGACGCTGTGTTAGAATATTATTTATTTACTTTTTATTTCAAAATATTAAGGGGGTACAAATGTTTTTGTTACACGGACACCTTTTATAATGCTTTTAGTGTGTCCATCACCTGAACAGTGTTCACCGTACCCAACAGGTAGTTTTTACCCCTTTCCTCCTCGCACCTCCCTCTTCTTGATTTCCAGTGACCTTTAAACCTTTCTGTGCCTGTGTGTGCCCATGGATTAGCTCTCAATTACTAGAGAGCATATGTGGTGTTTATTTTTCCATTCCTGAGATACTTTACTTAGGATAATGGTCTCTAGTTTCATCCAAGTTGCTGCAAAAGACATTATTTCATTCTTCTTTATGGGTGAGTAGTACTCCATGGCACATGAAGAAGAATGAAACAGGACCCCTATCTCTTGCCATATACAAAAATTAACTCAAGATAGATGAAAGACTTAAGTGTAAGGCATGAAACCATAAAAATTTCAGAAGAAAATGTAGGAAAAACCCTCCCAGACATTGGCCTAGGCAAAGAATTTATGATTAAGACCCCAAAGGCAAATACAGCAACAGTAAAAATAAATAAATGGGACATAATTAAATTAAAAGACTTCTGCACAGCAAAGGATATAATCAACAGAGCAGACAGACAACCTACAGAATGGGAGAAAATATTCACGAACTATGCATCCGATAAAGGGCTAATATCCAGAATCTACAAAGAACTCAAACAAATCAGCAAGAAAAAAACAATCCCATTACAAAGCGGGCAAAACACAGGAACAGAAACTTTTCAAAAGAAGATAGACAAATGGCCAATAAACATACGAAGAAATACTCAACATCACTAATCACCCAGGAAATGTAAATTAAAATCACAGTGAGATGTTACCTTACCCCTGGTCAGAATGGCCATTGTTAAAAAGTCAAAAAACAATAGATGCTGGCATGGATGCTGAGAGACAAGAATGCTTATATACTGTTGGTAGGACTGCAAATGAGTACAATCTCTATGGAAAACGGTATGGAGATTTCTCAAAGAAACCAGCAATCTCACCAGTGGGTATCTACCCAAAGGAAAAGAAATCATTTTATCAAAGAGACATCTGCACTCGGATGTTTATTGCAGCACAATTCACAATTGCAAAGATGTGAAATCAACCTAAGTGCCCATCAATTCACAAGTGAATTAAGAAAATATGATATATAGAGTATATTTTTAAAAAACCCTCAAAACTCAATATTAAAACAACCCATTAGAAAATGGGCAAAATACATGCACAATCATTTCACCAAAAAGGATATGTGATGTCAAATGAACACATGAAAAGACATTTCATATTAGCCACTTAGGAAAACGTGAATTAAAAGCTACACACCTATTAGAATGTCTAAAATGAAAAATAGTGATAACCCCAAATGCTGGAGAAGATATGGAGAAACTGGATCACATATATATAGATGGTGATAATGTAAAATGGTGCATCTACTTAGAGAAATAGTGTAGCGGTTCCTGTCCAAATTAAAAATGGATGACCCAGCAACTACACTAGTATTTATCCCAGAGAAATAAAAACTTATGTTCACACAAAAACTTGTACATGAATGTTCACAGCAGCTCTATTTGTAATAGTCAAAACCTGGAAACTACTCAAATGTGAATGGATAACAAACTGGTATATACAAATCATGGAATACTGCTCAGCAATAAGGAGGAATGAACTATTGATATACGCAACAACTGGATGAACCTCAAGGACATTATGTTGAGTGAAAAAAGCCAACCTTTAGAGGATATATACTGTATGATTCCATTTATATAACATTTGTGAACTAACATAATTATACAGATGGAGAACAGATTAGTGGTTGCCAGGGGATGGCAGGGAGGGGATAAGTATGGCTATAAAACTAACAAGAGGGAGTCTTCTAGTGATGGTAGAGTTGAACATCTTGATTGTGGTGGTGGTTATGTGAGCCTACATATGTGATAAAATTGCACAGAAGCACAAGCACATGTGCATGTATAATGGTGACATCTGAATAAATCTTATTACGGATTGTACCAATTCCAGTTTCTTGGTTTTGATATTGTACTATAGTTGTGCATGAGGTTAACATTGGATGAGGCTGGAGGAATTCTGCAAGAGACTTCTCTGTATGTTTCTTTACAACCTCCTATGGGTCTATGGCAGCTAACACAAATTTAGCTGCACTGTCTTTACTAATATTCCAAAGTATACATCTTTCCAAAGATAAGATACCTCAGATTTGTACTGATTAAAAATTTTCCTCCCAAATAAGCTATAATTCTTCTGCCATTTTATTGCTATTATTTGATTAGAATATCAGCAGAGTCAATTCCTTTTTCAATATAATACCTTTAGACTTTTCTGACCACTAGTTAGCAGTAAAATGTAAATGTAAAATGATTTTTTTTTTTTTTTCCTAAAAGACAGGTCTTGCTCTCACTCAGGCTGGAGTTCAGTGGCAAGATCATAGCTCACTGCAGCCTCAAACTCCTGGGCTCAAGCGATTCTCCTGTATGAGCCTCCCAATAGCTGGGACTATAGGCATGCACCACAATTGGCTAATTTTTCAATTTTTTTGTAGAGATAGGGTCTCACTATGTTGCCTGGGCTGGTCTCAAATTCCTGGCCTCAAGCAATCCTACCTTGGCCTCCAAAGTGCTGGGACTACAGGTATGAACCACTGTGCCCAGTCTATTTTGTGGATTTTAATCATCAATAAGTAGGCCATCTTTAAGACATGCATTGAATTTTTATTGACAGTAATAATACAAATTAATATAATTTCATCTTATTTTACTCAATTTTGCTTTAACCTACAAGCATACACTGGTGGCAGTGGAATAGAATGTGGTTCTGGTTAGCATGCACAGGGAGGATCAGACCTAGAGCTTTCAGATCCTCTAACAGGATCTGAATCACTGACATGATTTTCCAGAGAACAACTTTTTAGGTTCTAATATCTATCAGATTTGTTTACAATGTCTATATTCGTCTCTTAAACATGTGAGTGCATAAGTAAACACATGTCATAGATTAGAAACTAGTTAAAACTGGTTTATCTATGTGCTTACAAGGAAGAATAAAAACAAAATAGGTTTATATTGCCCTAAAACAATTTTAGATGGGCCCTTAGAAAAAATCCTTGATCACAAAGGTCATCAAGACAATGAAAACTGCAAGAACTTACCTTCCTAACCTTTCAACTATTTTTTTTCTTTTTTTGAGACAGAGTCTCACTCTGTTGCCTGGGCTAGAGTGCCATGGCATCAGCCTAGCTCACAGCAACCTCAAACTGCTGGGCTCAAGCAATCCTTTTGCCTCAGTCTCCCAAGTAGCTGGGACTACAGGCATGTACCACCATGTCCGGCTAACTTTTTCTATATATTTTTAGTTGTCCAGATAATTTCTTTCTATTTTTAGTAGAGACGGGGTCCCGCTCTTGCTCAGGCTGGTTTTGAACTCCTGAGCTCAAACGATCCTCCCGCCTTGGCCTCCCAGAGTGCTAGGATTACAGGCATGAGCCACTGCGCCCAGCCCAACTATTTGTTTTTAAACTGTCAACTACTTGGAGATTGGGCACAGGCTCTCAGCTGTTCATCACCAAATATAAAAGCTAACAAAGGATCAGTTATATCCTTACATCACTATTAACTGAAATAAGTTCCCAATTAGAACACTAAATTTTAAAAATTATCATCACTTTACTAGTAGAAACATAGATGGCTCATGGTCCAATTCTGCCGTGCTACCTGTTTTTATCAATAGTTTTACTGGAACACAGCTACATTCATTTGTTTTGTATTCTCCATAGCTGCTTTTGCACTACAACAGCAGAACTGACTAGTTGTGGCAGAGAATGAATGACCTGCAAAGCTTACAGTATTTCCGATCTGACCCTTTACAGAAAAAGTTTGCTGACCCCTCACTTACATCAAGAAGTTCTTGAAAGCTATTAATATTACGAATTCTGAGCAGGAAGAAAACTTTTCTATATCTGAAATATATTATTTATCCTACTTGTCTAAAGCAGCATAAGATTCCATACTGGGATGGAACTAAAAATCTAGAAAGATAAATGCTATTCTTTTTGTCAGGTAGGTGTTCAAACACAATTTTAAAAGTTGAAGATGAGCTCTAAGTAACTCTCAAGCTGATGCTGGTCTATAAAACAGGTAAAGAAAACATTCTTGAACAGATAAAAATCTGTCAAGTTACATAAGAGGATAAATATAGAAAACACAATTATTAAAAGAATAATTACTAATACTTACGCTGTATGTGAATGAGCTGCTTTGGCATCTTAAATTCCCCAGGATATATAGACTCATAGTAAGCAATATTACTTTCTGCCTCTGGGACTGGTATAACCATATTATCCCTCTTCTCTCCATACACTTGCTGTGCTGAAATAGCCCGCTGAAGATGATGTTCCTAAAAAAAGGAAAAATAGGTAAGTTTACGTAGTATTAAAAAGTAGCAAACAGAACGTATAGCCTTACAAAGAGGGTTTTGCTTTTTTTTTTTTTTTGAGACAGTCTCACTGTGTTGCCTGGGCTAGAGTGCCGTGGCGTCATCTTAGCTCACAGCAACCTCAAACTCCTGGGCTCAAGTGATCTTCCTGCCTCGAGTAGCTGGGACTCCCAAGTAGCTGGGACTACAGGCATGCGCCACCATGCCTGGCTAATTTTTTCTATATATTTTTAGTTGTCCAATTAATTTCTTTCTATTTTTAGTAGAGACGGGATCTCGCTCTTGCTCAGGCTGGTTTCGAACTCCTGAGCTCAAATAATCCGCCCGCCTTGGCCTCCCAGAGAGTTAGGATTACAGGTGTGAGCCACTGCTCCCGGCCTTTCTTTTTTTTTTTAAATAGTGGGATTTTAGTAGGTCTTGAAAGCATGCTGTTAATAATAACTAGTGATAAGAACATTTTTTTTTAAGAGACAGGGTCTTGATCTGTCACCCAGGCTGGAGTGGTATGATCATAGCTCACTAGAGAATCCAACTCCTGGGCTCAAGTAATCCTCTTGCCTCAGCCTCCCAAGCAGCTGGGACTACAGGCACGACCCACCACACCCAGCTGATAAAAACATTTTAAGTAGAAATGAGAACATTTTGTTAGAAATACTGAATATTTCCTCAATTAAGGAAAAGTACTACACCAAAATTGAGAGTTATACAAAGAGATTCCAAACAGTTGACTAGAACTATTAAAACTTGCATTTTACAGATGAGGTTTGAAGAAAAAGAGTTAAAACATTTGAGCTTATCATATAAAGAAAGCAGGCTATGGATAAAAAACATTTCATTGACTCAAATCTGCTATTCCTATAGTACTTTGTAAATTTAGAAGGTACTTTCATACAAATCAACTATTAATAATAGGATCTTTTCAAAGAAGGGTAGAGATTATTATCTCCATTTTTAGTTCATGAAACGGACACAGATTCAAACTCTGTCTTTTGTCTTGAGTAATAACCTTTCTTACAAATTTCTAGAACCCTTTTTGAACAGTAGCAGAGTGTGTATGGGAGCAGAAAGCACAATGCTCTGGACTTAGGCTGTTTGGATTAGAACTCAGCTGCAACACCAGAACAGTTTGTGACTTCCGGCAAGAAACATCAGTCTTCTAAATCTGTTTCATCCAGTAGGAGAAAAATAGAATCTACTTTACAGAGTTGGTTGGAGATGTAAGATAAATGTAAATAAAATAGTTAGTATAATGCCTAGCATATAACAGGTGTTCAAAAGAAACTTTGGTTTAGTCACCACCCACGAAGCTTTCACCAGTTTGTGATATCACCAGCTGCCACAAAGTATTGTTCTCACCCAGCCCTACCAACACTGAATTTTGGCATACATTTTATTAAATTCAAACTATTTTATATACATAAAAATACAAGTCCATATGTAGAAAACATTGCAACAGTATAAAATGAAAAGTTCCAGTCCTCACAGGTAGCTCCCATTAATAATGGGCATATTCACATATTTTAATGTGTATACAAATATATGTATTTAAATATATAGGAGCCTACTATACATAATATAGAAGTATACACATTATATATAATATAGTAGCATACACTATACATTGCATAATAGGATGCCATATAAATGTGTATATACATGGTATTCTACCATGCAATATAGAACTTTATCCCTAGCTTTGGTTCACTTGCTATATCCTGGACATCTTTCCATACCAGTACTTCCACTATATTCTTTGCAACAGCTGCATTGTATTGTACTATATAGATGTACCATAATTTATTTAACCAGGCAAAAATTGACAGGAAAAAACCAAATGCCTACCCTCCTTCCCAAATACTGCAAAAACCAATTCTTGTATTATATACAAGATATCTTCGTGGACTTGTGAAAGCATCCGTAGGACAACTACAAAAGGAAGTGCTTGAAGGGCATATATAAGGTTACGACAACGTACATTCGTATCATTCCCTGAAGTAACTACTTCTCAAAATCCCTTTTGAATTTAAAAATATTTACCCATCTTGTTATTTTAGGTTAATTTCTTTACAAATGATGGTTAAGTTTTCCTTCCCTCAAATGTTGTTGTTCTTTGCTCATTTTCAAAACTGCTGCTTTTCTTTTCTCACTGATATTTAAATACTTGGGTTATTTCCTTTTTAATATTAAGAAAATCAGTCCCATGTAATAAATCTTACAAATATTTTTCTGCAGTTTTTTGACTTTTATTAATCTTTTCCTTTATGGTTTTTTTCTTGCTTAATAACAGATATAAATTGCACAGGAACTAGGATGTGTAAGCAAACATTTTGTTTTTTATAACTCAATTTGATCTTTGATTCTAAACCTTCAGGATGCCTAATGGCTCCCGGGAGCTGATAGAAACTAAGTATGTATATGTGCATGGAGGGTGGGAGAAACGGCGTGACTTAATGGCTAACTGTATCTTCTTACACTTTGGTAGAGCTTGCTCTCCCATCTACTGGCCCCGAATGCCCACGGACACAGGGTGCTTTTGTTAGCCTCAGCTTCAAGTAGTTACATATGCTGTTCTACTCTGATACACTCAAATGTCAAGAGAGATATTCTTCGACGTACCTCCAGCACAAACGCACCAAACTCAAGGCACTATATTCATAATGTGCATTTTGTTCCCAGCTCAGAACGCTTAATCTATCATTTCTGTGTGTAGGTGAACATATGAGAGATACGGTTTACCTCTTGGACTCTCTTGCAAATCTGTTCTTACTCCTGGTGATACTTTTGGAACGTACGCTCAAGAATTTGTTGATTTTGTTTCACTAGTTCTGTTATATGACCCCTGGTCTAAATGAGAGGTGGTTGTAGGTGAGAACAGAATATGCCAATGTCTAAGATTATTAATTGGTCAAAAAAATGAATGCTTCACATACTACCCCATCCTCCCACCTCAAGCTCATGAAAAAAAAATTCACCCTTGTCAGGTTTTTACCCTACTTTTTTACAATTTACTTATTTTTACATCTCTAATTTATTTTCTGTGTAAGAGAAGGATCTAACTTTTTTCCCCAAATAGTGAGCTATCTGTCTTAATGTCACGCATTGTATCATCTATTCTCCTTAATCATTAAAAATGTCCGATATTATGTAATACATTCCCCTGGCAACTGGGAGTATTTCCACGCTTTTTTCCTTTCCTGCTCTATTCAACTTTCTCCTATGCCAATATCAAACAGTGTAGCCTCATACATTTTGTTATCTATAAAGCAAATTCTTCCCTCAGATTTCTTCTGGTTATTTAATTTTTTCAGATGAACCATAATAAAGTCCTTTTTTCAGGCGTAAAACAGGACCCCTAAGGTGTTTTGATTTGTATAGACAATATATTATACGTAGCATATTGGTTAAGAACATGGAGTTTCTAATCAAGAATGCCCTGGATTTTGAATGTTGGCTCCACAGTTTACTAGTCCTATGACTTTGGGACTTGGGACAAATTATTTACTATTACTCAGCAACAGTTTTATTATTTGTAAATGCACACCGTATACCTGCCACATGGAATTGTGGTTAAAATGCCTGAGACACACTAATACTTAATACATGGTAGCCAACATATACCTTTCATTTTTAGAGAAGCTGAAGTTTTTCATATGCTTAGTTACTATTTATACCTTCTGTGTGAACAGTGTTCTGTAGAAAAAAACTTCCCTTATGTTTATATCCATTTTTCATAACCATGAAATCAAATTTTTGTTTATCAATATTATAGTGAAAAACTCACTGCTTTAAAAAATCTTGTTTGTGGTTTTATCGTTGTATATTTCACACAATTCATGACTTCCTCATATCTTTAACAGTCAAGAATATGATCCTCACTTTATAATGGCATTTAACGGTCATGATGTGTGCAACCTCTTTCCAGATGGTTCAATTAAAAAACCCAGGACTTACAGAATTAGAAAAAATGCAAAATATTAACTATAGACTTTAGGTTGAAAGTATATTTCCTATAAATTTGAAAATTTTATAATTCAAAAATTATAATTTTATAATTATTTCTATAATTAAATTTTTATAATTAAAAGTTGAATAAAGAAGAATAGAGTATTAAGGGCCAGAGATGTATATAATATAGAGCAAATATGGTTAAGGTCTTCTAAGTCATAAGTAAAAAACAAACTCATTCCTCAACAACTGGGACAACTATTATCTTCTATTATTCATATTTATTTCCTCCCCAAGTACAACAGTGCCCCGCTTACCCACAGGGGTTATGCTCTAAGACCCTCAGTGGACGCCTCAAACTGCAGACAGTACCAAACCCTATATATACTATGTTTTTTTCCCGTACATATATACCTATGATAAAGTTCAACTTTTAAATTAGGCACAGTAAGAGATGAACAACAATAATAAAACAGAACAATTATAATAATATGCTATAATAAAAGTTATGTGAATATGATCTCTTTTTAAAAATATTATACTGAAATCACCCTTTTTCTTTTTGTGATACTGTGAAATGATAAAATACCTACATAATGAGGAGAAGTGGGGTGAATGATGGAGGCATTGTGATGTAGTGTTAGGCTACTACTGAAAACTAATTCAAATCTCATAAATTGTTTATCTCTGGAATTGTCAGTTTAATATTTTTGGACCATGGTTCACCTCAGGTAACTGAAACTACAGAAAGCACAAGCACGTGCAAGGGGGACTACTGCATGCACACGGAGCCTGAGACAAGGAGACCAAACGCAGAAAGCCAGTGTGGCTGGCGCACGGTGAGTGAGGTAGGGGGATGACAAATTCATCTGCACGGTGTCAAGAATCTGCCCTTTTTCTAAGAGCAATAGTGGCTGAAGGATTTTAGAAGATCGGCCTGGTTGCTATGTAGAAAATAAACCATCGTCTATAAAATAGAATTTAAGTAGCCTTTAAATAGTTCAGAATAATATTTA